TTTCACCATATTCAATTTCCCTCTCAAACACAAAACATACATGGTGTACACATCTCTACATGGTAAAGAGGCAAATTGTTCAACCTCTTTGCTCTTTGATCTCCTCATCTGTAAAAAAAGGGGGGGTTGTTAAAATGCAAAGATATTTTAGAAATATTTAGGTAATAAATACTAACTACAATTATAAATTCTTTTTTTATTTTTTTTATTTAATTTTTATTTTATGTGTATGAGTATATTGCCTGCATGTATGTGAGTGCATCCGTGTCGTGCAATGCCATGGAGGTCAGAAGAGGGCTTTGGATTCCCCTGGAACTGGAGTTAAGGATGATTCATAGTCACCATGTGGGTGCTGGGAATCGAACCTGGGTCCTCTGCAAAAGCAGTCAGTGCACTTAATTGCTGAGCCATCTCTCCAGCCCCCAATTATCATAATTCTAAGAATAACAACAATCTAATAATCCTTCTGCCCGTGTTACTTTAACCACTTAATGGTTAAGCAGTCCTTTGAATGCCTCCAAATCTATTAGCTTGAGGGATTGGCCTACATGACCTATTCCATGGGCATGGGGGAAGATCTTAGCTTTCTCTAGGGTGAGCTAAAGGGGCCAAAAGAGCAAAGACAAGATGAAGAAGGATGAATTTTTCCTTGCAGAGCTCAAAAGAGCCACCCCTAGTATTTTACTCCAATAAGGTTATGAATAAACTCTTGAGTTAGAAGGATACCCGAGGATCTGCACTCAGTTACATGGCCTTTGGGGACTTTTTCAGGTACTGGTTTAAGAGCAAAGATTTATCTGTAGCTTCTACAGGGGAGATGAGACTATGTCAAGATTGTTCTCAAATCACAAGGACCCCCTTCATTCTCAGGGCTCCAGTGAAGGAACGCAGGCAAGAATAGGCAGGGTCTTTGAACCTGTATTCCCATCAGTGACTTAGGAGTGTGGATCTAGACTTCAGGACACTAGATGAGTTCTTTCCACTCAGCGAGCAACCAAATGGTCTGGTCCTCTTACTAGCATGTTTCATAGGTGGGTTTTAAAATTTATATCTACAGTTGTCCTTGAAATTTTTTACAAGAATTCTTTTTAAATAGCTCAGAGATTCTAGTCAAAATTTGAATTAAACTCACTCAAAGTAACTTTATAGAAGGACTATAACCCTGATACTCTATAAATTTTTTCTACTAGGGAAAAATGACAGAATTCCATAGGGGTGTTAGATGTTAGGCATTACGTTTTATATGTTTTGATACATAGAAGCTTTGATTCTAATGTTTGTGTCATATGCTAAACATATGTGACCTTACCTAAATATCACAAAACCCACCATAAATTAATCATCAACCTTAATAGTTTCCGCATTTCAAAACACATTTGTTTTGCAAATTGGTGCCTGAAGGCCAAAGTTTTAAGGTGACTACATAGAGTTTAAATGAAAAACATATCACTCGCATGTGCACGTGCGCACACACACACATACATACAGCTTCTTTGGCATTTTAACTCAAAATAGGAGAAAATTTGGCACATATTTGGGTCCTAGGCTTTACTGTCTTTGGCAATTTTTGCTAATTTGATCTCTTCATTATCAGAAGAAAAGGTTAACGCAAATTAGACTTGTTCAAAGTGTCTCCCTTACATCACTGTTCTATATCCTTGTATGTGTTTGTGCACATGCATATTTCCAAAGCTGTCTTCAGAAGAAAAAGCCAGATAGAAACTTTGGGCCTCTGTGCAAAAAGAAGGATGATTTTGAAAGTTATTTAAAAGCTAGTTTTTTTGCTTTCAGGAGTTCCTTTATTTTCAAATCCGATTGAAGTTCCTTTGATTCTAAGAGTGACTCATTCTCCTAACATCTCCTTCTAGGCTAGAGTTCCACAGGAAGATACAGGAGGTGATGCAAAGAAGTAGGGGTGTTAGATGTTAGGCATTACGTTTTATATGTTTTGATACATAGAAGCTTTGATTCTAATGTTTGTGTCATATGCTAAACATATGTGACCTTACCTAAATATCACAAAACCCACCATAAATTAATCATCAACCTTAATAGTTTCCGCATTTCAAAACACATTTGTTTTGCAAATTGGTGCCTGAAGGCCAAAGTTTTAAGGTGACTACATAGAGTTTAAATGAAAAACATATCACTCGCATATGTGCACGTGCACACACACACATACATACAGCTTCTTTGGCATTTTAACTCAAAATAGGAGAAAATTTGGCACATATTTGGGTCCTAGGCTTTACTGTCTTTGGCAATTTTTGCTAATTTGATCTCTTCATTATCAGAAGAAAAGGTTAACGCAAATTAGACTTGTTCAAAGTGTCTCCCTTACATCACTGTTCTATATCCTTGTATGTGTTTGTGCACATGCATATTTCCAAAGCTGTCTTCAGAAGAAAAAGCCAGATAGAAACTTTGGGCCTCTGTGCAAAAAGAAGGATGATTTTGAAAGTTATTTAAAAGCTAGTTTTTTTGCTTTCAGGAGTTCCTTTATTTTCAAATCCGATTGAAGTTCCTTTGATTCTAAGAGTGACTCATTCTCCTAACATCTCCTTCTAGGCTAGAGTTCCACAGGAAGATACAGGAGGTGATGCAAAGAAGTAAAGGACTGCTCAGAGGGAAGCAGATAGACAGAAATGGGTCCTGGCTACATTCTTCTCCCACTCCTCCTCCCCGCCCCACCTCCAGAAGCAAGTTGGAGGCCAGTGTGAGTCTCACCCACAGTATGCCTTTGGGAAACGCTTCTTCCAAAAAAAGGAAGGATAAATTTTTGCAAGTAAAGACATTTTTCTTGGTGTCTTCACTAAAAAGAAATATATATGAAAGCAAGTACAAGAGATTTTTGGAGGGATATAGTACATAAAACCATTCAGCAAATAGCTTATTCTATATATTAAATAATTTGACAGTGTAGCATATTCAGAAGATCAAATTTGTAAATGTTCTTTATCTGTGCCTAAGTGTCACTACTAAGTGTGAAGTAGTAACATGATTTAACAATGTATGCCTAGATTAAACATTCATAACCATCTACTCCTTAAAAATGTAAATGGCCATATGCTTCCACTGAACACAAACAACCCAGCATATATTTAACATATTTTATTTCATATCTTATGTTAAGTAGAAATAAGCTTCTATTTCCTTCCTTGAGGAAATATTTAGTATAATAACAAAGAGGTTTACCAACGTTTCACTCGGAGCAGAAAGTGATGAATTTCATCTATTGGATCTTTCTATTTTATTAAATTTTAACACTCTTATAGATGGTACATTAAAGAAAAAAGATAACTTAATACCTAAATGCAGCATGGTTATTGGCAATGTCGTGGCTCATTCATCTGAATTAGCCCTGAGCCAGACCAACCAGAACTTTGATCAAAGGACCGCGTTTGTCAGCTCTGTATGTATCATCTAGTGGCACTTTCAGATTTACCCTTCACTAGATTCTCACAATTATCCCAAGAATGACAAATTGGGGAGATACTGGAATCTCTCCTAGAGAATGCTACTTATGCCTTGAGTCTCTAATCTTTCGTTCTGTTGGGGACAGGCCAGAGAAAATGGCACCTGCTCTACTGTCGAGGAGCAGTTCATACTAAGCATTCTTACTTCTAGCTGCTGTTGCAGAAACAACAGAAAAGATAACAGAAAGATGGCAGGAAGCACATGTAACATCTTCTTTCTCTAGTGACCTAGAAGCCTAAGAGAAACTAAGTTGATTGCTGAGTTCTTAAGAAAAAAATTCTGTTCATAAAATCATGTTGATCATTCATTCACTTCCTATTCATTCTAGAACTGGGTGAGACACTTAGTTCTTGAGTCTAGAAGTTAGCTAAGAATACAAAGAGCCTGCCTTCAAGAAACTATATCCCTCACAGAATACACAGAGCAGTATTAATAATAAATTAGTATGATGACCTCAGAAAGCAATCCAGCCTACACAGGAAAATCCTGGGGAGAGGAGATGGTGATTCTTTCTTGAGTGGGTGGTCAGGGAGGCAAGATTTTAATTAAGGCCTTAAGAACTGGCCATCTTTGCAGAGCCAAGATCATGAAGGCTTCAAAGAGTCACAGGGATGAGCAGACTAGTGTGACTAGAGGTTGGAGCAAGGGAGAAATGGACAGAAGCTGTATCAAGTCATGAGGGCCTCAAGGGCCAGGCAAATAGATGAGGTTTGTTCTGAGTACAAAGAAGTCACCAGAGTACTTCTAAGTAGGAATTGGAATGATTTATGGTCTTAAAAGATTGACCCACCTGCTAAGTTTAAGAGGGCAGATTTGAAAGGGAGCAGCTCAAGGAGGTGGCCATCTTAGTACCCAGGTAGATAATGGTGGTTTGCCTAACAGAAGCAGCAGACGACAATGAGTCAGACTGCAGATGCAGTCTATAGGTGGAACTGCCAGGTGTAGCTAAGGACTGGACTTGGAAGGCATGGAAATGCAGGAACCGAGGATGACAGCTCTCTGGCTGGACAGCAAGGCCTTTTAGAGGATCATGGGTAAAACATCAAGGGTCTGGTTTGAATGTGAGGTTAGAGACATCTGTAAGAAATCTGAGAGAAGAGATGTGGTAAGAAACCAGACATATATGAGACCAGAGCTTAGGTGAGGAAAGTTGGACATTTAAACACCATCAAAACAAAGATAGGGTACAAACCCTTGGGACGAGATGAGAGGAACAAGGGAAACGGTGGGGTGAGAGGAGAGTGCAGGTCTCTGTACTGAACCCTGGCCTTGGAACAGGAAGATAAAGCAGCAATCAAACATGAGGGTTACTACCGGAGAGCCAGGAAGAAAACCATGAAGTCAATCAACATATTCTGACTAGGGCATTTTTGCCAGGTATCTCTGGGTGAGGGTAAATAGCTTATCCATGGTTTTATACATCTCTTTTCTTCTAGTGTTTTAGACTTTTAAAAAAAATCACCTTTGTCAAAGTCATTTACCTTATTAGAAGCTAGTATTGCTACCCACTTTGAAAATCTTACCTTTGCTCCAGTGTCTCCCACACCACGTAAACCCATTGGTCCAGGGGGTCCTGGCAATCCTCGAGGTCCCTAAGATGACATAACATGAGATGCAATGAACATCCTTGAAGTTTGCAATGCACAGAAAGGTGAGGGGAGGCAGGGCCAAGAAAAGGAAGGAGAGGGCAAGGCTTCAATATTGCTGCAGCTGACTGTACATTTTACAAGGAATTACAAGTTCAAGTATCCCCAACACATAGAGATGATAGTTAAAAAAACGTAAATGCTAATTACCCTGATTGATCATTAAATATTATATACAAGTATGAATTATTATACTATAGTCCACAGATACATATAATTAGTAAGTTAGAAATAAGTATTTAAAAAAAGAAAAGTTACAGTCACACTTACAGCCATGCCAGGATAGCCATCACCTTTGAGTCCTGGTGCACCCACCGGTCCCCGAGGACCCAGGGCACCCTGGAAAAATACCAATGTCAAGTTGTATCATGAGACTAAAGCATGAAACAACTACAGAAGAGAAGCTTTACCCTACCTCCTCACAATGGCCATTCATATGAGTTTACTGGGAAGTATGGTGTGAATGTAAGGAGTGTATGGGAACCATTATAGTGTTCTATAGGAAACGCCAGTCACAGGAATTAGAACACGGCTTGTTGCTAATATCTCAATTCTAAAAAGTGCAAATGAATCATAAATCAGGAAGAAGTATAAAAATGAGAAAATTTAGAAGCTCTGTGGGAGAAGAGTAAAAAGAATATGTGACATGTTTTGACCGTAGGCTGTGACAAATGTATAGCCCCTGCCAAGCCGGGTCTGTTGCACTCATCCGTGCCACCTAAGTGCTGTGGGATGAACAAACCTGAATGAAATTTTTAAAGATTTTTTTTAAGTTATAAAAGAATGGGACCCTGACACATTGCAGTTCCTACCTAGAGCTTTCAGGGAAAAGCTGTAAATATTGCTTTACAATGACAACCTTGTGTACCATGATTTATAGGAGGTACCATTCACCTCCTCTGCAGAGACCAGAGAGAGATCATTGTCCTTTTGACAGCAGCATGTTCTTAGATGTGTAATTCTCTTATAAATAGAAATCCAAGAAATATCTGACTAGAGTAAAATAGGGTTAGAGGAAGAAAAAATTTGAAAAATCTTTTAAGAAGATTTATTAAATCACAGCCTACTAAACATGTATTTAAGACATAAAATTTTTCACCTCACTGTATGATGCTCTTAATAGGCTTTACCTGTACAAATTGTTTTTGTAAAGAGCTGTTCATGGTTTAAAATACAGTTTTTTTTTTCCATTAGGAGGAAACTTTAGTAACAGGCAGACTTTTGTTTTCCAAGAATCGAAATGTAAATGCTACCCTCAAATGCTTTTTTTATACACAAGCAAATTTTGAGAACAATTTGTCATTATTCTGACCCAAAATATTGCCCCAAATCCAGTTCCCCACTGTTCCTAACTCCACTCCTGTGAGTGAATGATTGTTTGAGGAAAGATAAAAGCTAGCCTTTAAAGATAAAGGTACCCTTTAAGCTCCAAGAAAGTTCAATTTATTTTGAAAACCATGAATGCAACAGCTGTCTTTCCTTGTTAAATCTGAGACTAGTTTTATGTGGTTAATCTTAAGAAGGATTAACTTTAGAAAATATTTGGTCACATATAAAAACATAGTATACTATTTGTCATCAAGGAAAACTCAAAATGATTTCTTAAAGTTGTATGTATGATAGACAGCAAGAACAAGAGGAAGTGAATTTTGGCATATCCCCAACTACAAGAAACTGGTCATTTCGCAGAAGCAGTTTTCTAAGCTATTCTACGACAGTTAATGTTGAAGTTCTGAACATTCATGAATGAGAAAAAGTCAATAAATAAGCAATAACTGCTCCCTGGTTAAGAAAAGAAAGTTATAATCAAATTTTACTTTTCAGTTTTTATCTCTATGCTCTAAGCCAATGATAAATTACCAGCAGCTGTTATAGATTAACCTCTGGTACTCACACTGGAGGGGAGATGCTAAAACATGCAATCTATAAACATTTTTTTCCTTAGCAGTCTTTGTCTTCTCTCCTATAAGAATTTCAGTTACTGTGTTACTTCTAGTATTAACAGCCGGTGTGATGATTACTGTTCTTTGCAAATAAGACTGGGTTTAGAATCACCTAAGAAACACACCTCTGCATATGTCTTTGAGGGAGTTTCCAAAGAGTTTAAATAAAAAGGGAAGACCCACCCTGAATGTGGGTCGGCACCATCCCATGGGCACAGATCTGGATTTAATAAAAAGGAAGAAAGTTAAAAAAGAAAAACCATATGAACTCTAGTATTCTCCTTTCTCTGTTTCCTGATTGGATAAGAGTAAATCCAGTCACCATGCCATCCCCACTATGATGGACTCTGTCTCCTGAGCCATGAGCCAAAATAAACCCTTCCTCAAGTTGCTTCCTGTCACATATTTGCCCACAGCAATGAGAAAAGTAATAATGAATCTAGTAAGAATCATGGATGAAGAATAGGGCACAGTTTATTTAGGACAGCTCACATTTTTATTCATGGAATTTTGCCATTTGGTCTTTCTTCACTGGATTTAAGAAAATGCCCTATAGAAGCAATTCACTTTGACCTCTCTCATTCAATAGAAATTAGCACAAAAATTGAAGTGTGGTATTTTGAAATGGGCATTAGGGAAGGCCTGAGAGTTCCTTGAAATAGTACAAAAAATTGAATTACTGTGACAAACTTCCATCAGACATTCAAAGGAATATACGACCCTGAAAAAATGTGGAAAGTAATATATTGGAAAAGAATGGCAATTAAAAGTACCATTAGAGCCTGAAAAAGAAGAAAAATGATTGGCTCAAGAGGCAAGTGTCTTTAAACACCATCATCTGCAATGCTCAGGAATCATCAGTAGAAACTAGGTGGTGCTTATAAACTGTAGCCCCACGTGATCATATTGTAAAGAGAAAGGGCAGTACAGAAAACAAGTATAAACCGTGGATTGAGAACACAGAGTTATCAAACAACATGAAAACTGCCACACAGGCGTAATTGATCAAGGCCACTCCCATAGTTTTCACATTCGGAAATTTGGCGTTCTCCTAGAGTCAACTGTATAGCCAGGGTCCCAGGATCAGGGTAAACAACCTGACCCAGGTTGCCTGAGATTTTCTGAGTTTTAGCCCTGAAAGCTTTATGTGCCAGGAACTCTCAGTCCTGGGCAAACTAGAGCAGCTGTCACTGTAGTGGGGAGGACTGCTGACATACAAAGAAGAATGGTGGGCTTTCAACAAGAACCACCCCAGTCTACATTCATTTAGGAACAGGCTTTGTGCTATATTTCACTTCAATGATGATTGCAAAGTTGTTGTTTGGTTAATGGTGGGGCGGGACGGTGGTTGGTTAGTTGGTTTTGTTTTGTTTTGTTTTGTTTTGTTTTTTAAGACAGGGTCTCTGTTGTAGCCCCAGCTGTCCTGGCACTTGATATGTAGACCAGGTTGGCCTTGATCTCACAGAGATCTGCCTCTGCCTGCAGAGTGCTGGGATTAAAGGTGTACACCACCATACCTGGACCACAAGGTTATTTTTAAGTTTGAAAGTCACTAGTTCATGAACCCTTTCTCTAAATGAGACAATTTAACAAGAGCATATAAGCCAGTTTTTAAACTTCAAAGAACAATTTCAACCAATGGACTAGCCAGCAAACAACCATATATGTGAAAAAATAAGCCAATTGCTGATTCCTCTCTTTTTCAAAGGACATAGCTCTATTTTTATATTTATTTCATCAATATAGAGGCTTTACAAGTAGAACAATCAACTTAAATATTTTAGTTTGGATCTTGAATGTTTCCCCAAAGACCTGTGTATTGAGCGTTGATCCCTAGTCTGTGGTGCTGCTGGAAATGGTGGAACCTTTAGGAGGTGGGGTTCAGTTTGAGGAAGCTAGGTCACTAAGAATATTCCCTCAAAAAGGATGGGGTGGGGGGGCTCCAGCCCATTCCTCTCTCTCCTTTGGTTCATTCCTACCTTTCTTTTGACCTATTCCTATTATTTCTTTTTGGCTTACTGACTCCCATGAGGTAAAAAGGAACCCTCTACCAGATGTACTGAGATGCTGCAAGACCCAGGCAAAAGAACCAAATGATTATAGGCTCAAAATTCTGAACCAAGTCAAAATAAACTTACAAACTTACAAATTTGACTGATATTTTTTGTGATAGTGATAGAAAGCTAACACTTTAGGTATCAAGTCTTCCCTCCTCCTCCTCCTCCTCCTCCTCCTCCTCCTCCTCCTCCTCCTCCTCCTCCTCCTCCTCCTCCTCCTCCTCCTCCTCCTCCTCCTCCTCCTCCTCCTCCTCCTCCTCCTCCTCCTCCTCCTCCTCCTCCTCCTCCTCCTCCTCCTCCTCCTCCTCCTCCTCCTCCTCCTCCTTTTCTTTTACAGCTCCTGGGATAAAACCTGAGGCCTTGTGCATACTAGGCAAGTGCTGTGCCACTGAGTTACATCCCCGGCCCTAAGTCAACCTTCTCACATTCAGAAAGGGAGCATAAATAAAGCATACCTTTGGTCCTCGAATAGAAAGTCCAGGTTCTCCTTTAAATCCAGGCATCCCAGGTCCTCCTCTATCTCCCTGTACATTTCAAATAAAATTCACAGGCTCTCAGTTATAAGAAGAACTGAAGGGGTACATAGTAAAAAAGAAAAAATAGATTGCCAGTCCGTAAAGAGCTTAATCTACCCATCTCTACCCTTTAACAAATTTGTGAAGAATTTGAAATCCTGAGTTAATATAACTTGTCAGTAAAGATTCCTATAGATGTTTTGGAAAACCCATTGAAATAACATGTGACAATTTAGACTCAAATATTTAGACTTAAGAATGCCTGGAGAGCCTCTTAAAATTGAGTATATTTCTCCAAAGCAACTGTAACAAAATTCTTACCTGCATTAGGGTCTAGGGATTAGGAGTTATAGGGTCACATGGCAAGCTTGGACTCAAAAGTGAGCGATCTGCCTTCTATTCATAATTCTGCTGCTGGCTTTTAGTCTGCTTATCAGTAAAATACTGGGCTGAACAAGACCATTTCTTGGGTCTCTTCCAAAACTAAAATTCTAGCTCCCTAGAACCATCATCACTGGCATCAAAAAACAAGCACTTTTCCCCTTCAACTGCCAAAGAGCAAGTAAAATTTTTTAAATTCCCAAAAATGTATACCTTTGGCCCAGATGGTCCAGGAATTGATGCTCCAGGCATTCCAAATGGGCCCATAATGCCCTGTTCTCCCTTTAAAAGATAATGCCCATTACATTTCAAGCAGAGAAACCATGCATAGTGACTACAGTAAGAAAAGAATACAAATATCTTTATCTTTCTGAACACTAGAACCTCTCTAGCAAAGGCCAGTGTGAAAATAATTGGAATGTTTTTTCAGTGCCTTTAAATAAATGTATGCAATTAATTCTGGATGTTAGGAAATTTTTACCTCCTATATATCTTTTCCTGGGTAAAAAGATGAGGTAATTCACAGTGCTTGTATGTATTTTATATTGTATGTCAGGAAAACCAGACAGAAATTTTATATTCATTTAGAGCAATTGTGTTCAGCATACATTTTACAGTATGTCTAACTTAGAAATCTTTGTTGCTTTATTTTAATGGCCCATGATATATCTGTGCTCAATTGTACACATTCTGTTTTAGAGACAGATTATAATTTTGTTATTTAAAAATTAAATAGGAGGGGCTAGAGAAATGGCTCAGCAGTTAAGAACACTTGCTGATCTTGCAGAGAACCCAGATTTAGTTCCCAGCACGCACATGGAAGTTAATAGCCATCTGTAACTCCAGTTTCAGGGATCCAGTGTCCTCTTCTGGCCTCCCTAGGCACTGTGTGCACATGCTGCATTACATCCATGCAAGCAAAATGCTCATACACATAAAATAAATTTAAAAGGAAAATTGAAATATTTCTCTCTCTCTCTCTCTCTCTCTCTCTCTCTCTCTCTCTCTTACTCCCTACATGTCATCTCACACTAACACACACACACACTCACAACAACCGACACCGACCTCATTTCTCTCTCTCTCTCTCTCTCTCTCTCTCTCTCTCTCTCTCTCCCCCTCCATTTTATCTAATATTGAGACTCAAAAACTCAAGGAGCAACAGGCAATTACTGCATCTCACCTGAATCTAGGCAAATGTTTCTCAATTGCAATGTATTCAGGAATTAGAGTTTGGTAAATGTGCACAGCTAGGTTTCAAGGCTTTGAATAGCTTTGGGAATAGTTTTTCCATTTTCAAGCAGCTATAATATAAGTTCCTACACAACATCTTCAATTTTGCCTCGGCCAAGAAATCTAAACTATCTGGCCTGTTTTTAAAAAACTGTGAGACCAGACATAGAGATGGAACTACTATGCCTCAACCTGCCTTCTAGGATCCCAACTTGGTGGATAATTCCTCCTCTGTGGCTTATGTATACTTAAAAATCAGTAGCATGAGCTGTGCTTTGGGTCATCCTATGCTGCAGGGATTCTCCAGGAAAACCCATTAGCTGAGTACATAGCCTGCTGGGACCCAGTTCATGCGGTATGTGTGTGCCAATCTTTAAATCCAAATCTGTGGGTGACACAGCCAAGATCTGGCAACAGACACCCTGACAGAGTAACAAAACATTCTTCTATTATAATTCTTTATTAAGGATCAATGGGATGGTTCAGTGGGTAAAGGGACTTGCTGCCAGCCCGACAGCCTGAGTCTGATCTCCAGAACCCACAAGGTAGAAGGTAAAGACAGACTCCTGCAAGTTGTCCTGTGACCTCGTCACATAACATGAGCCAGCCATCTTACATACATGCACATACGCACACACACATACTCACAAATACACTTAAACAGATACAAATATACATACAGACACACACACACACAGAGACACACACTCATAAATAAATGAATAAATTTTTCATTGAAACCAGGAGTAAGACAAAACTTATTCTATATTTAATTTGTTCTACATTTTAACAAGTCCAATTACTTTTAAAATATGAGAAGTGTCATGGAGTTCTCTTGAATACAAGATCTTTGATTAACATGTGATTGTGCTTTAAAATATGACAACTCATGAAAGAGATGTACTCTTGCTCTGGAGTGTGTTACTGAATATGTTAAAGCTGTAATGAAAAAAAATTTAAAAAAAATTTTTAATACATAAAAAAAATACAGCAGGGTAAAGATAAAAAAAAAAAAAGCTTGATTTCAAAGCACAGAAAGTTTCACTTTGAATAAGAGCAACTGCAGCATTCAAAGTAGTGCCCGTTATTAATTCTAGTAGATGTATTTCTTTTGGAGTAACAGTTTCTTATAATGTGCTTCTTGAACTACCTCGAGCAGAGGGCACATGGAGAGACAGATCCCTGGATCTCTCCCCACAAACTTACTAAATCCAAACCTCTGGGGACTCTGGGGACAAGACCAAGATACCTGGATGTGTAACAATTCCCTGGTGACAGTGCTGGGTACTGACGGATGCAGCGGCTCACGGCTCTGCACGCAGTGCTGTTTTGTAGATGCTCTTATCTTGCCAGTACCGTTTTTAAACTTGCTTTCTCACCATCTGGTCTTTAAACATACTCCTTACCTTTTTTCTTATAATTACTATCTTCTTGGAGACATAAACTCTCAGGATTTCCATTCTTGTTTGCTGACATGAGTGTTCTAAGTCCAGACACATTCCTTGCTTGCCTCATACTCCTTCACTTCCTCCTTAGCACACTGTTATGGACAATTTATGGGGACTACAGACCCTTATTTTCCATTTCACAGTATTGATTTTTCTCTCTGAATAATTCTTTGTGTCAAGCTCTTAGTAGGTGCCAGAGACTATGCAAAGTGCTTTCTTAAACTCAGCGTCTTCACAACTGCTCTGCGAACTAGATCATGTTGGTGTCCTCTTTCTATATTTGAGGTGACTGGCACAGATGGGACAAAGCAGAGCAGGATGAGAAATGCCTCCTGAAGCCACTCTTCAGCATCCAGGGGCTGCCTGGCGATGTTCAACTTACTGTTTTTCAGGATAAAAAGGAGATGGACAGCTGGTGTGTCCTGTGGCCCAGCCCTGATGCCTGCTTCTCAACATCTGGAAAATACTAGAGGAGACTAACATGCAGCTTCTCTCTCAGAAGTACAGACAGATGATTACTTTATTGGGTCTCTTCATCCATGCTTTTATACTATGGGAAAAGAACGTTTTCTATAGGCTTTTTCATTTGTTAGTTTTCGTTTTGTGTTTGTTGGGAAGGAAACAAGTAATCATATTGGAAGTGGAAATCTAATATTCTATTAAAACCAGACACAATTACAATTTCCCCAAAGCATAAATGAGAATATAAGAAACATACCTTGGGCCCTTCAGGCCCTGGAAATCCCCTCTGTCCTTGATTCCCTTTGCTCCCTTTCTTTCCTTCATCACCCTGACAGAATAATTATGAAAATGTAGACGTTGCATCAACACACCCTCCTCCAACCACACATGCCCACATCAGAGCCAGACTCTCAAGAGACCCCAGGTTGAAAGTGATTTGCCTTCACACAGCATCGTTACCTAGGGTTTTTCCAAGTTCTTCAGAAAACTGCAGTCTTTGTCATTTACTCCAAATGATTTGATAGCTTTAAAATCAAAGTTCTGAGTCTTTGAGAACTTTAGTTTTCACTTTTGTAACCCCGGTCTATTAACAAATGGTTCTGATACATTCAGTATTTAGAAAAGAGATGATTTTAATCTTGTTTTTCCATTTCCATGCAATTTCAGTTTAAAAACAGTAAAAGAGACATTTTTCAAATTACAACCCCAATTCTTCCTCAATGGGGAATCTAGTTTGTACTCCAAAGGGAGACCAATAATTTTGTTGGTAAGAAAGTACTTTAGGGACTACAGAGATGCAGTTAAGAGCACTGGCTGCTCTTGTAGAGGACTGAGGTTTAGTTCTCAGCACCCACATAGCAGCTAACAATGATCAGTAACTCCAGTTTCAAGGAATCTGATGCCCTCTTCTGGCCTCCACGGTATTGCATGCATATGGTGCACTTACAATGCAGACAAAACACTCTTACACATAAAAAATAAAAATAAATAAATGAATAAAAAAGAAGATGCTTAAGCAGTAACCTGGAGCAGAGCCAGAAACTACCTCTGCTGTACCCTAGCAAGGCTATACTCAGCAGTGTTCCCTCCACCTATAAAGGATTCTGCTTCTCCACTGAAGCCTCATAGGATTCTCTTTAAGCTGGGCTCAGCTGCTGGGCACTATATGCTGGTGTAGACCCAGCACAACAAAGGACTGTCTCCTTGGGATTTGCATCTGGGGATCATTGAAACAGTCCTCATATACTTGGCTGAGCTTGGTTTTTTTTGCACTTGATCATGAGAATCACCTGGAGGGCTTGGTTGAGCACAGTTTTCTAGATCCCTTGCCCAGAGAGTTTCTGGTTTAGTAGGTCTGCAATAGGGCCCAATAATTTGCATGTGAAACATTCCTAGTGATGTTGATGCAGCTTGTCCAGGGGCCATACCTTGGAAACCAATGGATCACACACATACTAACTCATCAACAAAAGGTTGCTCTACAAAGAAGAGGAGAGGGCCTCCCATGGAATCTACAACCATGTAATTAACTCCACACAGTGCAGACTAATAAAGAACAGTGGCACAAGTTGTAAAACAGTGAAGTGTCTAAACAGCATTAATTATATCATGATTACTGTCAGGAGAGATGTAACATAGCCTCAGCTCTCAAATTGCTTCTATTCACCACCATATTCTACTTACTGACCTAAATCACCCCAGAGGACAATAGATACATAGCCAATGCCATGAAGTGCCACTATTGTCCATGGATGCCCAGGATGTATCACAGGCCCCTGCCACTCTTCTCCTCTAAATGTTTATTTTGTACAATATTAAAAAAAAAATTCCTGGCACTGGAGAGATGGCTCAGCGGTTAAGAGCACTGGCTGCTCTTGCAGAAGACCTGTGTTTGGTTCCCTGTATCCACATGGCAGCTAGCAACCATCTATAACTCCAGGTCCAGGGGATCCGATGCCCTCTTCTGACATCTTCAGGCACTGAACACATGTACTCACATACCTCCAGGCAAAATACTCAAACACATAAAATAAAAATAAATTCATCAAAAAAAATTTTTTTTCAAGTATCCTTGTCTTCCTGTTTAAAGAAAAAAAACGATGAATTCAAATATCTGGATTTCTGCAAATATATTTAAATTTCAACTTCTCACTTTTAAGATTAAGGATTTTTTATTTTAGTTCATATTTTTTCTTTTCTTTTTTTTTTTTCAGGTCTTTCTTGAGACAGGGTCTCCCTGCAGCCCTAGCTGGCCTGGAACTCACTATGTAGACCAGGCTGGCCTTGAACTCACAGAGATTTGCCTGATTCTGCCTCCCAAGTGCTGGGACTAAAGGCATGTACCACCATGCCCAGCTTTAGTTAATATTTTCACAAGGCAGATTGCTTAGGCTATCTATTAGTATTTTAATAGAATTACAAATAGAATGCTAATTATGAGGTATTACTGGTGACTGTGCATTAAAGTTACAGGAAGTCTGGCACCATAAAGGCTATAGGTTAAGCCGATACAGACCTCATCCAACTGGTGAGCTTATATATTCTTATCTTGACACATCTTATTCAATCATGATTTCTAGAGAGTAAAGTTAAATTGCCATTTTATTTGTTTTTGGTGCTGGGAGTTTAATCCAAGTCCTTGCACATACTAAGCATATACTCTCACTAAGCTATATACCCAGCTCCCCTAAACTGCCATTTAATGAGATGATACAGCTTATTATTGTATGAGAGCCTATAAATACTTGAACAAACTTTATGGACTTTCAAATTCTAACCATTTGTCTTCAGGATTCTTTTCCTTCCTATGTTTTCTTTAAATGTCAATCTGATCACTCATTGAGAAAACATGTTGAATTCTTCTCTATGCTGGGTCTTATGACAGATGTTAGGAGGATAAAGAAGAACAATATATACCTGCTGTCTTCCAAAAGCTCTCAAAATAGTATCCATAATTTTAAGCCAGATGTAAATATGTTTGACAAAGCAAGAATAACAATCAAATTTCTAAGTTGGCTCTTTACACTGGAACCAGACCACAGACAGCTGCTTCCCACAAAGCCGTCATTTGCATACCTTAGGGCCGGGTTGTCCTTTCCCAGGTGGTCCTTCTGGGCCTCGTGTTCCTGGAAGCCCTGCTTCTCCCTGTAGGAAAGGACACAGATGTCACAGCTGCCCCTCTTTTATACAAAATGCAGAACCCACCTCGTCATCTCCTCTTGTCATCTCCTCAGTGGATTCAGCTTCAGTAGACTAACCCCAAAACAGAATAGACAATTCATTCGAACCTCAAAGTTAATTTGGAAGCTTATCAATGAATAAATTAATATTAAACTCTAGTTTAACTAGAGCAGCTAAACCATCACAAAAACTCCAATTTCCAGCTAACTTCCAAAGCACTAAGCTCACTTTCCTCTGGCTCTTCACTCACATTTAGTAGACTTTTTTTTTTTTTTTTTTAACAAGAAAGACCTCCAGCCTCTCCATCTGCTGGTTTTTAGTACTTTTATTGAAAAATTAGTATTTCAAATGTCAACCCAAAATAATTCAGGAAATCTTTACAATAGCCTTACTTCCTCAATCCACTTTCCTCCTTTTTGGAGGAAAGAAAGGTGTTTTTGTTTAAGTTTAAATTAATGTGCTTTCTAGAAATCCTGAAGGAACTAGGTTACTGGAAAATGCTGCTCCAAGATGCCAAAGAGGACGCAGAGGCTGAGAGACACCACAGAGGATGGAAGACGGTGTGATGCTCTATCTGAGTAAATGGAAAGAATGTTTTTAAAGATACTAAGTTTGTACTGGTTTAATTTGAGTTCCTGCAAGGCCAAGACGTTATTGTTGTTTTGTTGAGGGGTGGGGGGTCGAATAAGGGTCTTCCTGTAGCCCTGGATGGCCTGGAATTCACTATGTAGACCAGGCTGGCTCAGAATTCACTGAGTTCCATCTCCCTCTGCCTCCCGAATGCTGGGATTAAAGGTGTGCGCCATCACACCAACTTCCACAGTTTTGACACCAATAGTACAAAAACATAAGGTTACCTTCTTTCCTGCAGCTCCATCTTCTCCAGGCGCTCCTTGTTGGCCCGGGAGACCCACTGTTCCTGGCTCCCCCTGGTGGATGAGCAGAGGATTTTCTTTTTGTGAAATTCATATTTTGCAAGCCTCTCCATTCTGACGTTATTTGTAGCTGGATATACCTTATAATATTTGAGAAAACGCTCTGAGCTAAGAAATATGACTAGTAATTAATAGCAATTAAACTACTTAACACTGGACAAGTAACCTAATCTCCTTGTGGTCCTCTGTTTTTCCTTGTTTTGCTGTGAGTTGAATTGTGATTTTCCCCTTGAGTGATGTTGGTTGGAAACGATGTTTTTATAGGTATATTCAAATTAATGTATTATTAAAGTGATTCCTAATAAAATTTTACTGGAGTCTTCTTAAAAAAGAGGAAGATGCCATGGGAAAACAAACGCATAATGAAAGCAATGAGACATCAGAAGCAAACAAAAGAGAAGCAGCCACACGCCAAGGAGAACTGAGGATTGGCAACCACAGAAAAAGAGGCTGGAAAGGATTCCTCCTTAAAGTATTTGTTGTAAGCATGGCCTGTAGATACCTTATTTTCAGACTTCTAGCCTCCAGAATCATGAGACAATAAATGTCTGTTTTTGTCAAGATGCACAGTTTCTGACACTTTGTTACACCAGTTCTGGAAAACTATTATAAAAGGGAAATTGATAAAACTGGACCATAGCCCCACTTCCAGCTCTAATATTCAATAATTCTATTGGCTTTCCAGTTGATTCATGATTAATAATAACTCATTTAAGCCATTCATTAAAATGCACGTGCTACATCTACTATAGAACCTCTACACCTAAGGCTCACAGAGGGGAACCTAGTAGAACAGGGGGCAGAGAGAATACTAATGCATCTCTCAACTCTCACCAGTGAAGGTTCCTCATGCAAGAGAGTATGATACACACAGAAGGCCATACTGATCAAAGTGTACAGAATAAGAGACTACAGATTCTGTCCCGGGATAGGACTCTGATATTAAACCTCACCCACAACTCAGGAACCATTGCAGAAGAGGGGGAGGAAAGGCTTTAAGAGCCAGGGGTGGTGAATGGCAACAAGGAAACAGAGTCTTCCAGGCCTCTCTGAACTTGCTCACATGAACTTACAGCAATGGTGACAGCATGCACAAGATCCATGCAAACTCAAACCAGACAAAAACCCAGCATAGAACTGGGAAAATGGGCAAGTGGCCCCAATCTTAGCTGAGGAACTATTGGCAGCTGATCACTACTGGGTGGGAAAAAGTCAGTCTTCTTTAAGGGAGTGACACTAGATAGGCTGACCAGGCTTCAGTGGATAAACTCACACTGAAGGACATCTGGTGACACAAACTGAACTCAATAGGCCTTAACACATATGACAGAATGCATAAAATCTGGTGGAGGGTATGGAATTGCAGATAAGTGAGGTGGTCTAAATACAATTAAGATGAATTATATGAAATGCACAAAAATTCATTAAAAATATACATTGAGCCGGGCGTAGTGGTGCATGCCTTAAATCCCAGCACTCGGGAGGCAGAGGCAGGTGGATCTCTGTAAGTTCAAGGCCAGCCTGGTCTACATAGTGAGTTCCAGGACAGCTGGGGCTACAGGGAGACCCTGTC